ACACACCAAGTTTTCAATAGATATGGTGCCAAGCTTCACGCTACCTCAGAGGACCTGGGCAACTTTAATCAACCTGGAATCTATATATAAAAAGAAAGAACTAAGACATTTAAAAAAATTATATATATTAGTACCGTGTCTGTGGGGTCTCTAATCTGTTCTCTTACCTATGCGGAAACATTGGTAGATAGAGTGAATCTAGATGGTTGCAGAGAGCTATTACCTATCCCGGCCTTACTCCCTCCCCACAAAAATAGGAAGCCAATGTTGCAATTATTTTCGCATAGGACCACTAGAGTAAAGGGCTGTCATAAAGCAGGTATGAATAAGAATTTGAAATTGCCACAGCAAAGTGTTAAAAAATGTTTTTTATGCAAATAGTAAAACTGCTTTTGCATTTTATGAAAATGATTTCTGAAGATTTCTGAGTCTTTTTAACTATAGCCATAACCAAATAGAAAATGACATTTTAATTTTCCCAAAAGCATTAACAATGGCATCTTAGAAAAAGTGTAGTGGCTTATCTGCATATGTGTATGTTATTTAGGAAACAGGATGTATGCAGAAAACAGTTAACATAGTGACTGCTACCCTTAGAAAGGACTCTTTGCAAGTTTAGCCCTTGGCAAGTATCTGGCAACTTGAATGGTACCAGTTCCTTACAACAATATGAAACTTGCCAAATGATTAGAGCGGCTCAATGTACCTAGACTGGACAAACAATATGGTTTATGCTGAACATCTGCTTTTGCTCTGGGAGTCTGGGATTTTGGTATGTGGTAGGCAGACGATGCCTATGTGACCAGTCCCCCAATAAAAACCTTGGGCACTGAGTCTCTACTGAGCTTTGCAGATAACTTTTTACACATTTTGTCACAGTTTGTTGCTGGAGGAATTAAGTGCATCCCTTTTGGCTGTACTGGGAGAGGACTCTGTGAAGTGTGTGTTTTATTTCCTCTGGACTTTATCCTGACTGCCTTTTCCCTTTGCTGATTTTGCTCTGTATCCTTTTGCTGTAATAAATCTTAGCCATGAGTACCACCGTATGCTGAATCCAGTGAATCTTGATAGTGAATCACCAAACATGGAGATGGTCTTGGGGACCCCTGACACAGAAGGGAATGGCCAACGGCTGCTGATCAATTACTCTTTATGTAAATGTTGAATTTCTCTTCAGAAAAAACTAAATGCCTCTTTGATCATTTAGTATATACTTATGTTTATATCACTATTTTTGTACTGTGTCTCCTTCTACAATGTTGGTGCTCATTAAAAGTGGAATAATATTTATATTAGATGTGAGGAAGCTAAGACTTTTTTTTTAATCACACAAGTCAAGAACTCTAAAGTTATAAGTTTCCATATCAGCTGTTACTTAATTACCTTATTTGTAAGTATCATTTTGACCACAATATTAACTTTTATATTTCCATGGGTAATGCAGCCAGATAGAGTAGCTGTGTAACCATAACTGATTCTTGTCTTGGGGGACATGGCACTGAGGCATGAAATTTCAAGACTATATACAGAAACTCAGAATATGTATTGCTAGGATGAGGCACAGTTAATGCAGAAATTATAATTCTTTTCTGTCAACTGTGCGCTTCTAGACTTGAACCTTAATACTGCATGAATAATTTGACATTTAAATACCACCTCCTCTGTTTTTTTAAAGGCAAAATATGTGTAGGAGAGAATCTAACAAGCTGATTGATCATCTTTCTGTGCATTTAAAAATAACGGCTTGAGTTAAAATATAATAAAGTACTTAACAATCTAATGGTCAAATATATGTAGTTTATGATTAATCACTTAATAAATTTTAGTTTAACTGTGAGAAGTCACTGATACCTATATTCTTTATAGCATGGTTTCAGAATGGAAGATACAATCAATGTAAAATATTGTTGCAGGGCTGGGTGTGGTAGATCATGCCTGTAATCCTAGCACTCTGGGAGGTCCAGGTGGGAGGATTGCTTGAGCTCAGGAGTTCAGACTAGGCTTGAGCAAGAGCAAGACCCTGTCTCTACTAAAAATAGAAAAATTAGCCAGGCAACTAAAAACAGGAAAAATTAGCCAGGTATGGTGGCGTACAACTGTAGTCCCAGCTACTCAGAAGGCTGAGGCAGGAGGATTGCTTTAACCCAGGAGTTTGAGGTTGCTGTGAGCTAGGCTGATGCCAGGGCACTCGCCCAGGCAACAGAGTGAGACTCTGTCTCAAAAAAAAAAAAAATGTTGTTGCATAAAATAATATGCTTTTAAAAATCAGAAAAAAATTCTGAATGAAAAGTATTTTTCATTAAAAAATTCAAATGCAAATATAGGATTCACAAATAGAAGACCAGAATTGGATTTTTAATGGCTTAAACAATTAAAAAAAAACTTGTTTCCAATTTTTCTTTTAGCTACTAACCAGAGAAACAATAATATTTTTGTAATGTGGATAGAGACACATTCTAGTTTGGATTTGAGTGTTGAAAGAGATGGGTTTATTGGGAAATGGTGAATGTGTTCCGTGTTTCACATAATTTAGATCCTAGAGATCACTTAATGGCAATATTCCACTTTCATGAGTTCTATTTTAGATGGGTAATGAGCATAACTTTATATCCAATATGGGGAGAGATAATCTGGCACCTTTTGTTAAAAACAAAAGTGCCCCAAACACCTTGTCATATTTCTAAATAAATGAAAGGAAAAAATCAGATATTGTGATAAAATAAAATTTTATGTTGTTATTATTTTAAGGTAACTAGGATTTTAACTGTTATAATTTTTGAACATATGCAGATTACTGGATACAAAATGTTAAAGTTTGATATGAAATGAAAACATATTCATAAACAGCAGAAGAAAAATTTTATCCAATGTAGAATGATTGGCAAACTATAGACAATTCACAAATAGGAAAATACATTCATTTTAACCAAAGCAATTTTTCTAAATAAATATAAATGTAGTCATGACAGTACCCTTGTCAGAAAACTTGCTTTCCTTTATGAAAAAGCTGTAAGTATAAATGAAAGCAATACAGTAAAGATTTAGGAACTTTATCATTACCCCTAATTAAATTATTTGACGATTACTATAATTTTTGCATTTTTAGTCTTTGAATTAGTAAAATATTCTTCTCTCATTTATGATTTTAACTTAGTTTAGTTCTCTCACCATCCTTTATATGACTTTTGGCTCCTATTCTCTTGAGATTCTACATATTCACTTCTCAAATTCTTCAAAAATAAATCACTGCCTCGTCTATTAATATTTCTCAATGTTTTGTTCATATAAAAAGTTCCTTTTACTATTACTCTTATATTCTCCTAGTGAAAAACAGTTATGAAGATAAGAAACCTGAAGACTAGAGATCAACAAATGTAACAAGAACAGCAGTGACACTTATTTAAAATAATTACTGCATTCTGCCTTTCTGTATTGCCTTTATCAGTGTAAATCTTTCAATAGCTAGCTTAGTTTATTTATCTGTAAGAGGTATTTATTTTCTACCTTTGATCTACTCGAGGTATAAATTCTTTAGTTAATCCCCTAATTTGTGAATACTGACATAACGTAAAACTTTCCCCATAAAATGCCGCAAAATACAAGGGAAAATCTTGTGACCCGTGTACACTGCATATGCACTGTGAGATATGGAACAACAATACTGTGTTGAGATGTGGATTCTAGGGGGTTGGATATACTCATTCTGTTGGTAAGTGTGTTGTTGCAACAGCCCAGCTGTGTGGCATCCATGATTTATATATGGGTGTTGGCAAAAAAGATAAATTACTACATTATGGACAGTCAGGGTACCTTGTGAACAGTTAACATTATAAACTGTGAGTTCACAGATGCCCAGGGTCAGCTTTCACATTAAATGCAAAGCTTGAATCTGGCTGAGATACAAAGAAATAATGACTTTCCCTCTATCTCCTTACAGATTTTTCAGGTTGATTAGGCTTATTTCTGCTTAAGAAGGTCGCCCTCCCCCCCCCACAACTCAAAAATAATGTGATGTCAAGATTGATGCTCCATTTCCTGGTCATATTCTAAATGGGGCTATGTGGTCATAAAAAAAAATACAAAGTAGTAAAGTGTACCACATGTAGGAATAGGAAGAAGGGAAAATAAGCAAAATATTCCTTTCCATATATTCTGTCATTGATGCATAGAAATCCTCCTTCTGGGAATGTTTAAAAGCCTACTCTTTCTTTACTGCAGGCTGGGAAGACTCAGGCTTATCTCTATTAAATTGACTTTGGTATTTTAAAAAAGATCTGAGGTCTGAGCTAAGGCAAGAGCAAATGATTGATACTAAACAAAATATTTTTGGAAGCAAAATTAAAGGTTCTAAATGCAAAAGAAGGAAGGTTTATGGAGTAATTTATAAAACATAAAGTACTATGACATAACAAATCTATTCATGTTTAGGAAAAATTAATGTGATTTTCATATTTGCTAATAATGATTACTTTAATCACAATCAACATGGACAATTCTGTTAAAATTAATTCTATGAATTTCCATCTTAAAAAGATGTATCCATTTTATATTTACTTCTAATTTTGTGGTTTTTGACATAATTCAAACAAGAAGTCTCTCCTGAAAAAGCAAGGGCACATCAAAACAGTGTCAAAACACTAAATCCAAGGAGATAACCACATGAAATAATTATTTTTATTTCTTTGAAGGACTATTTAGATTTATAGCTATGATCCTGTGCTTTATAAGTGATAAAAATACCAAATATAGAAATTGACTTATTATTTTGCTAATTTCTTTATAAAACTGCCTTTTTTTTCTTAAAAGACTTCGATGATTCAATAATTATGCTATTACCTTAAATGAATGCTGGATATAAGACCAGCAACTATGGATATTTCTATATTTTTCACAATTTGAGATAATATTCTGATGACACAATATAGTTTCAATTTACAAAGATTAAAATTTTATGTATAGAAATAGTTAATAAAATAGGAATAAGAAAATGTATTACTTACCTTTCCAGAAACAATCTTTTCATAAATCTGAATTGGTTGGTCTGCAAAGAATGGGGGGTAACCAGCTGCCATTTCATAGATTAGCACTCCTAATGCCCACCAATCCACTGCCTTATTGTAGCCCTGAGATAAACCAACACCAGTGTCAATTGTAACTTAAGTTACTCAGAAGAAAATAAAGTCATAGGTAATTTCAAAATGATCTGGAAGCATATGAAAAAAAAAATTAAAGCAGTTGCTGAGCAGCTATTCAGGATAGAATAAAATAAATGAACAAAATGTATCAGGTTAGATTTAAATTAAACAAAAGAGAGAATTACCAGATATTGAAATTAAATATTGGGAGAGATTATTACATCTTCTTCCCAAAATCATTAAGAATATTATAGACAATGAAATATCCTCTATTCTGCTGGGATAATTTAGTTGTTGCTCAATCCAGGAAGGAAGTTGGACCAAATTACCTCTTAAGGCCTGTTCCAGGTCCATAATCTTATGAATCAGGTTTTCTATAGTACACCTAGAAAGGGCAAAGCTTTGAAAGAACTAGGAGGTATTGGATTTCATAGTAAACAGTAGAGTTGACTTCAAAGTACTCTATGTTGTTGGAGTCAGGAGGGTGAATGTATTAGGGATAGTCTCATTCACTTCACAGGCTCTTGTGAGAGCTAACTGTTTAATGTGGAACCCAGTTAATGTAAATATTTACATATACTTTACTTTTGCTATCTACTGTTTTGCTTCTCACCTCTAAACGGTATACAGGAAAGAAATCTATTTCATACGGTTTTGTGAGGACTATATCAAACGAAAGAGAAGAACTTGTATAAAAAGTGTTTTGCAAACCACAAGTATAATTCAAAGGATATGTTTAATTGGGTTTGTTTTCATATTAAGCTTACTAAAATTAAGACCTAGAAGTATTTATGAGAAGATAAATAAGAATAACATGTTTTACATATTTATATGAAATTTATCAATTCTGATCAGTATCAATTGGCACAAAAAGTATTAAAAAAACCCAACAGCCTGGTCATGGAGAGAAATAAGCTGAGATCTTCCCACATCTCTTGTTCTGCCCTCAAATGTACCTTGTACCATCACCACTGCCCATATCCACCCTTTTGTCAACATTTTAGCTTTATAAACTATTTGGTTTTCAAATAATAGCTAAATAGCTAAATAGCTAAAATATAATACTACAATACTATGGAGATTTCTTTTCTCTTTTTTCCTGATTTTGTATGTTTTTTTAAAGATAGGGACTGGTATAAAGGAATAGCACTTTGTTTTGCTCATAGAAATGGGCAGTGACTTTGCTGTAACTCTTTGATTCCTATACTTTAAATTGTATGCTAATTTTAATAGTAAATATGCCAGATTACAAGTTAATGCCCTAGCTACAGAGAATTAAAACAAGTCAATAAGAAAAACATTAAAGTAGAATAGATAAATGGGCAAATGACATGATTTAATAATTTACAAACACACACATCAAATGGCTATTATGCATTTACAAATAAATCTAATAATCAAAGATATGAGAATTAAAACAATGAGTTATCATTTGTTGCCTATTAAATTAGTAAATATTTTTAAAATGAGAATATCTAGTGTTAGAGAAGGTTCGGTTAAATACACACTCTCATACACTACTGCTATGAGTGTAAAATGGTATACTCTTTTTGGAAAGCAATTTGGCAATATGTATCAAGAATCTTAAAAATATTCATACCCTTTCATCCAGTAATTCCACTTTTGGGAATCTACCCTAAGAAAATAATGTGAAATACAGAAAGCGTTTTATGCACAAAGGTGTTTATCGCAGTTATTTGTAATAGCAAAAAAACCCTACACAAAATACCAAAAAATCTAACAAAAAGAAAACCTGAATGTTCAACAATAAAACAAATGGCTAAATTCTTACAGTGAATTTGCAAAGAAACCATTGGAATGAGGTTTACATGCTTGTTACCATGCAAGTGAAAAAAGATAAACACAAAACTACATTCATTATGATTTCAGCTATAAAGACACATGTAAAAAAAATCAAAAAAATTTTTTTTAAAAAGGCTGCCTCTGGGTGGAGGATAACATATAGGGCTTTTTTGGTTGTTTCTTTATATTTTTCTATAATTTTAAAATTTTATACAATGAACATCTGTTACTTCTATAATATATACACATTTGTAAATGTTTTAGCACTTATTTTGCAGTCACATTAGTTGTTAAGTGTACTTAAGAAAAATGTGTTAGTAGCAATGATATTTAGATTATAAAAGACTAAAATGTTATATATGATTTATATTGTGAAAGATGATGAGATGAAAGCCAGAAAAAATCTTTCATTTTATTCTAACACTTCTGTAGGTTAGTCAAATTTCAATTATTCGGTTAGTGAACCATCGGGGCACATCTTATCCCTTCCCTTTTCCTCTCTTTTATTTGTGCCCAGTTATCTTAGTTTCTCCTTTGCAGTTTCTCCACAAAGGGATGCCAGAGGAAAAGAAATGTTAAACCATTCTTTTAGATATGGTTACAGTGTCTCTTACCACATTACGCTGTTGGGAAAAGTAGAACTGACTTCAATAAGACTAAATGTATTCAATTGCTGTAATATTCCTATTAAACTAAAATTTAAAAATAATGCTTATATATTTCTTTAAATGGTAAATTTGAAATGAAGCAATGACAACTAGTACATATCATTTCTAGATTTGTCTCTTGGTGTAAGCCAGAACAAAACTTCCCCACCCTACCATTGGGAATTATTATGAAAAGACTATGGTTTTGGCTTCAAGACATGGATCTGGAGGTCATATTTATTCACACTATTTCCCTAAGATCTAGAGTTAAAATTGACAGAGGTTATGGGATTAGTGGTAGATGCTAAATAATTATTCTTCAGTAATGAAGCATAAATCTATTTAAACTCATAGCTTAGATCAAATAAAAAATTATAAAATTAGATTAATAAACTTTTCATAAAAGTCCATAGTAATGCATGTCTCATATTTCTACTTCTTACATATTGATATTATAAATATACCTTGCTAAGGATTATTTCTGGAGCCAAATACTCTGGAGTGCCACATAATGTCCAAGTTCTGCCTTTAACTCTTTTGGCAAACCCAAAGTCTGTGACCTATAAAAGAAAGAAAAATTTTTGTGAAGATTTATTGCTTCACAATAAATGTATTTATTGCACCTAAATTGAAAGCTAAAAATTCAAGGTTAAAATTAAAACCATGCAAAAAAAATGGAAAAAAATTAAGTCAATGTAATGAGACTCATTCATGAAGGCCATTATTTGGCAAATGAAAGTTTAAATAATCCAAGTTGGAGACCTCTTACCCCACTGAAAACAAAGAAGCAAGTTAACAACAACAACAACAACAACAAAAAATCCTTTTCAGTCATTATCATAATATCCCCAAGGAATAAAAAGGTGAAATTAAAAGGTAAAAATAAATAGCATTAATACAAATGAAACAATGTTAAAAGTATGCCTTAAGTCCAACATGTTCTCTGCCATTAATTGTGCCATCAGAAGTACAAAAGCATCAATGGGAGAATCTATTCATAACTGTAAAAAATGATGATCTCATTTTATTAATAGTAGAAGTGGAAAACAAACATTAGCTACAGTCCAGTATTGGTAGTCAGGGCTTCTTTGGCAGATATATTGTAGTGCTGAGAGTGTGGACTCTGGGGTCAGACTGCCTGGGTTCAAATTCTGACTACCATTTACTGGCTATATGACCTTGTTATGCCTTAGTTTTGTTAACCTTAAAATAAGGAAAATAACAGTATTTCTACTTCATAGGTTTATCAGGATTAAAAGATAATGCATGTAAAACACTTGGAATATGCCCAGCACTAAAGAGTGCTCACAAATTTAGCTGTTATTATATCCTTAGGCAGGAGCCTTGTGCTCAGTTCACAACTACAGAGTATGGGAGATATAAACAGCTTCCTTCCTTGATAGGATTTTTGCTTCTCTGTAATAGTGACAGAACTGTGAGCTTAACTTAAGCTATCAGGAAGAAGCAGTTGTCTCCCTTAAAAACAAAAACAAAAAAATTCCTATATTGATAGTTGGGGTTAAATACATACAGTTTCTTGCCTAGTACTTTCTCAAATGCATTATATATAATGTGTTTAAGTCATACCTGGATGTAACCTTGATGGTCAATTAAAAGATTTTCAGGTTTTAGATCTCTGTAGATGAGGTCTAGTGAATGGAGGTACTCGAATGTTAGCACTATCTGAGCTGCATAGAACCGTGCATGAGGTTCACTGCAAAGAAACAAAACATTGATTTTCTGTAAACTGGGTTAACACATAATAACTAATAGATTATACATTAAAATTAACATGAGATAAAGGTATTTTGGGATCAAAAGGTATTTTTTCTTTTAAACATATGTAAACAATCTTGTTAGTTTCTAAACATTTAGTAAATCTCTAAATTGTCTTCAGATAATGCTTTGATACATTTAGGGGACAGCAAATTTGAAGAAAAATATGACCCTAAAATAGTTATCATTATAAATTATTATTGCTCATATTAGAAAATATTGATGTCTTTATAATTATGTTGACCTTGAGAATGATTGAAAAGCAAATGTGCCAATTGGATTGTCTATCAGCTATTGCTACAGTTAACATGTGTCATCTACTTTTCTCACAAATTTCAAGTGCTTATAGAATTCTACTACATAGAAGCTGTTTAACTGCAAATGCGATTATACCCATTTGTAAAAACTTCTGTTACAAAAATGACACATGCTCATTATAGAAAAAACATCATAAAATATTGGTAAAGAATAATGATCATTCATAATCTCATCCAGAAACCATAAATACAATCTTGGCATGTGGATTTCCAAATCTTCTACTATGCATGTTTATACAGACATACAGACATAAGTATAATCTCTGTGGTTGTATAAATTTGAACAGTTCTTTTATGCATAGATTAGATCAATTGATAGATCAGTGCTATTTTGATGCCACAATCTCAGTGTTACTCCAAAAGGATGTACCAATTTTCTAATTCGAGTTTCTAATAATTTTTTAGTGTATTCACTGAATTCTACTAATCTGCCTGATAAATTACAGTGAGTCTCAGATTTGTGTCCTCAATGAACAACTTTAACTGTGAATTGGATTTCCCTCAAAACAGCATAATTATGACCTGGCAGAATCATAAATAGAAATTCTAAAAAAAAAAAAAAAAAAGACCATATATGCTGCTCTTTTTGCTTGTCACTACATTCTCCAGGTACTAACCTGATACACCACTGGTGCTAAGTAACTATTGTTGAATGAATGAACATGAAAAGAAAAAACCTCTGGGGGACAACATTTTATAATACCCTTCCAGTTTCAGTTCCATCTGAACACTGTAACAATCTATACTGTATGTCAAATGACAAAGAAGGAGGAGAACGTTGTAAGCAGAGATTGGGAGAATCATCTGGTCATTGCAACATTTATCCTTGAATTTAGAAACTTTCGACCTGGGAAATCTCTTCCTATTTTCTCCATGCATTTGTAAATATAGGATGCACTCAGTGTTTTCTATTTCTTTCCATTCACAAACAATTTCATAGATCCATAATCAAATTGTTGAAAGGTGAAAGTAACATACTCTAAGTGCAATTTGTTATCAGGTATTTCTACTCAATATTTAAGGGAATGTAGGAGGACATCAGGAAGATCTAATGCTGTAGCAGCTTTAAGTCTATACCTCTACTATTGAAGTAGAGAATCATAATGACTCCATTAATTCTGATTAAAGCTATGCTAAATAAGTCACATTCTTGTTACCTCAAAGTTTCTAAGATGGGAATTAGCGATCTTTCAAGTGTATATGTAGTATTTGTGAAAGTTTAGAAAAGACAATGTCTCTGTGAATTATTTCAATCAACTTGCTTTCCTTGTATTTTAATAGTACCAAGTCAAATATTAAAGAAATAAGAGTGTGGGTGGCTATTATACAAAGAAAATAAGTTAGTAATTATAGAAAATGGACAAATATTTTTTGAGAAGAAGTTTAGGTGTGGTACTTCAGTGTAAAACTTTGAATAATCATAAGGCCATATGAGGATTCTGCTTGGACAAGGAGTAGTAGGAGAGAGAGGACAATAGAAAGTGAAAGAAAATTATCAAAGATAAACAGAAACTACTTTGCATTAGCACAGTGCCCGACACATATTAGGTGCTCTATACATATGAGGTCAATAAATCAATTTTGGTTCAGGCTCCAGGTAACTAAAATAATTCTAGTACTTGCCCATTACTTGTTATCATCTTGGGATAATCCAAGTCTACCATCACATTTTTATGAATCAAATTACCATCATCAGTCCTGTCAAGGGACCAGGGGGATCAAGTACTCGGGGCATATAACACCTGCTCCAAGAATTAAATTTGCCATAAGCTTAGCTGCTGAAACTGGCTGTTGTAATCTGCAAACAGTTTTATTTAACAGCTACTGAAAAAAACCTGCTGCAACTCTAACACTAGTTTTACCCATCCCATCACTTACCAATGATAGCTTGCCAGCCCCCCAAAATTTTACTAGTACCAATCAACTTTCTTTCAAAGCATATATAACATTTCTCCTTTTTATAAAATCTCCAACTTTGTCATTGCACTTCAGACACACCAAAGATCACCTGGTCTGGGTATATGCCCTCAATTGCAATTTTTGCTTCCCAAATAAAACATTAAATTTAGAGATTCGTGTCTACATTTTTGTTTTGACTATGACATACTTGCTGTCAGAAGTAGGATTTCGAAGCTGATTCACTTCAAGGAGAATCACTGGCCATCAGGACCATAGCACGAGGTACCTAGACTGGGGCCCTTTGAGCTCCTTTGCTTCCATGGGGCACCTCTTTCTCCACTGGTGAGACTCTCTTGGACTGAACTCCCAATTGCAGTCAAGTTTTGTTTTACTTGGGATTTGGCTGGGGTGAGATCTTTCTCCCTACTATTTGAGAGGGGTCTTTCCCCTGCTGGTTGGGAGATCTCTGGTTGGGGAGGGTTATTTTTTTCCTATTGATGTCAGCTGTAAGGTTTGGATCTCAACTTTGAGATTTAGATAAGGGGATTTTGGAGAAGCCTTATTGTTCTTCCTGGTTTAAGTACCTACTTTATTTTCCATTGGCACTTGCATTTATTTGGCCTTTGTGTACTCAGTGCTTGTGTTTAATTGGCTTTTGGATATTTGGCATTAAACCAAATAACCTAGATAAATTTAGTTAAAAATGGGCTCTCAAAGTTTAAAGGCATGCCAAGATATTTTCTGGGACTCCAGCTGGTAACATGTTCAAACATTAGAGGAATCATTCAAACAGTCTGTTGTTCTTAAAACTGAACCAAAAGACCGTGACTATAATAATATCATACACTCCAAATAAGACTCATATCTCAATTGATTTTTTTTTTTTTTTGAGACAGAGTCTCACTCTGTTGCCTGGCTAGAGTGCCATGGCATCAGCCTAGCTCACAGCAACCTCAAACTCCTGGGCTTAAGCAATCCTCCTGCCTCAGCCTCCTGAGTAGCTGGGACTACAGGCATGCGCCACCATGCCTGGCTAATTTTTTTCTATATATATTTTTAGTTGGCCAATTCATTTCTTTCTATTTATTTAGTAGAGACAGGGGCTTGCTCTTCCTCAGGCTGGTTTCGAACTCCTGACCTTGAGCAATCCACCTGCCTCGGCTTCCCAGAGTACTAGGATCACAGGTGTGAGCCACCACGCCTGGCCTCAATTGATATCTTAAAGATTGAAAAAAAAAATTCAGGACTCAAAGATGGCCTTGCTATAAAATACTGCCTCAGAGCTAGCTGAGACACTTTCCTCATCAGAGATTTTCCCTCCCCTCCTTACAATTCTTCTTCTAAGCTAAACTTTTTCCAAAACTCCTCAGCTATTCTAGCTTAGTGACTATTTAAGTAAAAACACTTGAAAAGCAGAAGATATAAAAGAAAATCATTTTGACTTTCATGCTGCTTTTTAAAAGCAAAAGATAAAATTCCCATGTAAAAGATACCATCCCTATACTAAAAGGAATGGAAACATTCTTATCTTCAAGAACAAAGAATTGAGACCAAGAGAATACTGTATAGACCTTGTTAGAATCATTCTTATCGTTTGGGCCTCTTCACATAATTCAGTCACATTTTTAGTTAACTATTCTTTGTCCAATCGAGTATATTTCTAACTGACTCAAACTGCGCTACCCCAAATTTGGTTGACAGCTTTCACATTACCTATTTAAAAAAATTGTAAAGTTTAGCCTTAACTCATTTGTCAGAAAAATAAGTTGGATCCAACTGTTTTACAAACCTATGAGTTTATATTTTACTATCGCATGACTAAAAATCTAAAATACAAGCTATAAACTCTTTATTTATATGTATGCATATGTGTTAATGTGTTCATGTATATGAACATGTATTATGTAATATATTGTGTCTACATGATAAAATCCAGCATAGTTGACTAGAAATCCTTTAAGAAATTCTATTTAGATAAATGGGTATTCATAAAACATATATATTAATTAACTCCAATTTTCTTTTAGTTCACATGGCTCAAATCTTCGATAAATTAACTGGTTTTAAAATTGCTGATAAAGGCCGGGCGCTGTGGCTCACGCCTGTAATCCTAGCTCTTGGGAGGCCGAGGCGGGCGGATTGCTCAAGGTCAGGAGTTCGAAACCAGCCTGAGCAAGAGCGAGACCCCGTCTCTACTATAAATAGAAAGAAATTAATTGGCCAACTGATATATATATAAAAAATTAGCCGGGCATGGTGGCACATGCCTGTAGTCCCAGCTACCCGGGAGGCTGAGGCAGAAGGATCACTCGAGCCCAGGAGTTTGAGGTTGCTGTGAGCTAGGCTGACGCCACGGCACTCACTCTAGCCTGGGCAACAAAGCGAGACTCGGTCTCAAAAAAAAAAAAAAAAATTGCTGATAAAATAGAAATGTCTTCAAAATTGTCAACATACATGTGAGCCTGAGTTTCCTGATCAGACAGTTTTATATTTGCCTCTGATAGATTTTTTTTTTAAGGTCATGAAGGTTTAAACGCAGCCTAAAACAAAATGACATTTGTTTATGTAATTCTTTGATAAATAAGATGAATTTAATATTGTTAGTTTAATGAACAGCTTCTGAGTTATCAACAGAATACTCATGTATTTACATTGAAGGTTCTAGGCTGGGCATGGTGGCTCATGCCTATAATCCCATCACTTTGAGAGGCCAAGGTAAGAGGATTGCTTGAGCCCAGGAGTTCAAGTCTTCAGAAAGCTATCATCAAGTCACTGCACTCCCGTGTGAGTAACAGAGTGAGACCCTATCTCTTAAAAAATAAATAAATAAATAAATTTAAGGCTACTTAAACATTTGCTATTAACAGGCTATAAAATTGGCTAATAAAAAATATTGACTAGCTTTGTCTAATAGCTCAATTCTTGTAAGTAATCTAGATATAATTGTTAAAAAATAAATAAATTAGGTAGTTATGTTTATAAATGAACTTCTCACATGATTTAAAATCTTAAAGTTCTTTAATGTTAAATTAAATAATAAATACTTATTAAATGTCTGGGTTGCACCCAAATAGGATATAAAACTGAAACAAATTGCTAAATAAATATAAGTTCATTCTTGGCTTCTTAAATTTTATAAGAAGACTAATATTTTTAAGTCTACTAATCAAAATATGAACTAAGAAAAATAATTTTGTATGAGAATATATCATATGTGGCAAATTTTTATTCTAAGATAAAATGATTTGTTGTTCCAAAATACAAAAAGAGAAGAAGAAAAGAAAAATTATAGGATTAAGACTGGAGATTTCAGAAAATGATAAACAAGTCAAAGAGGATTTCTAAAGGATGGGCCTTATGAAGGAAGTTCTACGTGTGACTGGGTTGTCTGGGGTCAGAAAGAAACTGTTTATGTGTTTTTCTAAAAATTAAACATTGGTATACTGACATAGGACCAGAGTATGGTTCTCCATATTTAAAAAAGCAAGGTTTTCTTGAAGCATTATCTGCTCTTAGTAATACTGCAAGACATTTTGTTTTTTAATTCTAAAATCTAACATGGGCAACAAAAGTGAAAATGAATAAGTAGATTATATCAAACTGAAAACTTCTGTACAGCAAAGGAAACAATCAACAGAGTGAAAAGGCAACCTACAGAAGGGGAGAGAATATTTGCAAACTAATCATCTGATAGAGGATTAATATTCAGAATATATTAATACAAGGAACTCATATATCTCAAAAGCAAAAACCCAAATAATTCAATTAAAAATGAGTAAATGATCTGAATAGATATTACTCAAAAGGAGATATACAGATGGCTAACAAATATATTTTTAAAATGCTCAGCATCACTAATCATCAGGTAAATACAAACCAAAAACCACAATGAGGTATCATCTTACCCCAATTAGAATGACTATTATCTAAAAGACAAAAAATATCAAATGCTGATAAGGATGTGGAGAAAAGGGAACTCTTATACAATGTTGGCAGAAACGTAAATTAGTACAGCCACTATGAAAAACAGTATGGAGGTTCCTCAAAAAACTATGAACAGAACTACAATATGATCCAGCAATCCCACTACTGGGAATGTATCCAAAGGAAAGGAAATCATATTGAAGAGACATCTGCACCCCCATGTTTACTGCAGCACTATTCACAATAGCCAAGATATAGAATCAAACTGGGTGTCCAACAACAGGTGAATGGATAAAGAAAATGTGGTGTATACACACTATGAAATAATATTCAGCCATAAAAAACAATGCAGTCTTCTCATTCACAGCAACATAGATGGAATCAGAGGACATTAGGTTAAGTGAAATAAGCCAGGAACAGAAAGTTAAACATCACATGTTCTCAATCATGTATAAAAGCTAAAAAAAAGTTGATCTCATAGAAGTAAAAAGTAGAACAGAGGATACTAGGGGCTGAGAATGGTAAGACAGGTGAAGCACAGAGTGAGATTAAAGTATATGAGATTACAGCTAGATAGGTAGGTAGAATAAATTCCTGGGACCAATAACCAGAACCAATAACCTGGAATCTCAATAGTAGTCTTTTTGTATTGTTTTTAAATGAATAGTTATAAATTGAATTTTCCATTCTGATTATATATTATTAAGGCAATTATAATGATCATAGTCTTTTTATGAGAATGAATATTATGAATTTTTGGTATTGGCATTAACTATAAAATTTGGTGTAAAACAACACAAGCATATAAAGATTTAAGGAGGGGAAAAGCATTAGTTACCTGAACCTTCCAATTCTTCTTAAATGTGAAAACATTTCACCCCCAGGGACATATTCCATAACCATGTATAAATTAGAATTATCCTATGAACAAATAAGAATAAAATAAATCAAAATTATGAAAACTAGGTAAAAATTTTTTTTTTAGATTACACCATGGTCAATTAGGAAAAGAGAAATTTAAAATCCATCTGACAAATTAATAACATTGGGATGTAGAGAATAAGTAGACAATGTGCTAGCTTTTCTATATTTGGGCACTCATCTTTTTTCCCCCTAGTATTCTTGCCACAAATTAGTCTGGGACTTTTGCTATTTCTACTCTTGCAAGGGACATTTAACTCTGAACAATTAAATACTGAGGCAATGAGATAATGTTATAGTATATTGAAAGGGATAACAAAGCTAAAAAACAATTTGTAAAAGTTCATGAGAATATTTGCATTTTATGTACAAGAGAGTAATGATTTTAATATCTTAAACATATAGATTGTCATTTGATTTAAAGAATAAAGGGAGGAAAAAGGTTAAAATATTTCATATGATTCAACTTGCAATATGCCAAGTATCATTCCAAAGAGATGAAAAGCAGCCAGTTTAAAGAATAAATCTTGTGTGACTTTATCAGAAACTTGAATAGTGTAGCAAACACTGTTCTGTCTTGTATAAGTGAAAAGACTAGAACACAAATTACTAAGTAAAAGAAGATGGTAAGATAGATCATAGCAGAAAGTGTTCAAGAAAAGTGGAGGGTGCATTGGCTATAAAAATTGCTTAATAAGATATCCCTATGGTTTCTGATAAATCAAAACATTTGATTTTGTAATTCCATCTCATGAAAAATTAAACATATCATCTTGAACAATTTCCCCAAGGGAGAACCAAAACCTTTTTCAATGTTACCTTAGTTTATAAGCACAATGGATTTAATTACATAACAACTAAAGATATTTCTTTTTTGTTTTTTCATATTATTCAGGCTTATCATCTGGTTTAGAATCCTATTCACAGCTTCATATTTTAAAAAATATATCAGGTTGAAATATCTCATTTAGATATTACTTAAATGTACCTTAAAAGAATACTCCAGTCGAACAAGAAAAGGAAAATTCACTGCCTGTAATATTCTTTTCTCATTCAAAGTATGCTCTATTTGCTTCAGTTTAACAACCTGTAATTGAAACATAAGTGTATTTTAACGTACTTAAACAAAATTAAAAAGTTATTATTTTAAAAGAAAAAAATAAAATTTTTTCCACATAATAATAAACTTAGATAAGCAAAATTGCTAGACTTGGATAAGGAAGATAATAATTACCAACTAGGATTCAAATGAAAGGCCTAATAGAGGATTTAAAACTGGGTCTTTAAAAGGCCAAATAAGATTTCAGTTAAGAAGTGAAAGCTAAATAGGAACAAGAAATAGACTCATAAAAATTACTTCAAAAAATTAATATGTCAAAATATTTAGATCCTAATGACTTATAGTCCACTAAAAAAGCTGGCCCAAACCATTATAATAAGGAGATACAGATTTTAAATACTTCACAAGATAAGCAATGAAATTATTAAGGAAACATCAATAATTGAAAAATAGTAGGTAAAAATAAACTGTTCATTTTACAATACCTGTATAGATACAGGTACAAATTCTAAAACTTCCATTTACACCATCATAGAAGAGGGCACAAAAAATATTGGGGAAAAAACTAGTATGTCTTTATAACAAATAGGTCATATAAGCTTAATCAAGCTTCCTCTGCATTATCTATTCAATAGAAGGGGAAAGTACTTTATCTGGACTTCATGAACTGTGATTCTATTCCACATGGGATTCTATTTTGAATTTAAGAAAAGGTGACCTTAGGGAAACATAAATAATTGTTTTGCATATGTGTAAATCATTAGAAGGCGGCATTCTTTCTTGCTAGAGGCTTATTGACATTCAGGGATAATCACAGACAACAAGAAGTGAAAAATTAATACAAAAAAGTAATTAAAATATCAGCTGGTTATTGGTAGATAAAATTAGAAGTATGCCAATAATATTGAGCAAAGAATAATCAACTGGGAGTCAGCAGATCCTGTGTGCTACTCTACACCTTCTATTCAACCAACTTTGACTTTGGAGATGTTACTTCAAGTCTTTGGACCTCAGGTTTTTTTAATCTGCAACATGAAGTAGTTGGGTCACTTCTGTCCACATTTTTAAAAAGCTAGTTATAATTTAGTCCATAATTATCACAATAAATTACAGCTGTCCCTCAGAATTCCTGAGAGATTGGTTCCAGGACCTCCACAGAAACCAAAATGCCCGGATGCTCATGTCCCTGATATAAAATAACATAGTGTCTGCACATCATCTACTTACATCCTCTGTGTACTTAATGTCATTTCTAGGTTACTTATCATATCTAATATAATGTAAATGCTATGTAAATAATATTGTAAATAATTATACTACATCTGTTTAATAGTCTAGCTAATAAAACCGAAGTTAACCCTGAAGGTAAATAACAACAAACACACTAACCTTCTGCTTATCTAAGATCTTCATGGCATAATACTGTTCAGTGGCTTTATGTTTCACCAACATGACTCTTCCAAATGAACCTGTTCCAAGGGTTTTTTTCCTTTCAAAATCCTCAAGTCCAGCATTATTCTAAAGATACATAAAAAATAAAAATAACGTTAAAATTAGAAATCCTCAAAAAAAGACTATGATCATTATAATTGCTTTAATAATGTATATAGGAATGGATAATTCAATTTATAAATATCCATTTAAAAACAATACAAAAAGACTATTGAGATTCCAGGTTATTGGTTCTATTTTCCCCTTTGAATAAGATAGGATCTAATATCTGAGAAGAGAATTATATTCCAAAACAGAACATAATAGTAACAGGAGAAAATAAGAGCCTCAGCTGAAATATTAAAGGTCATATTCTAATATGCATCTCTAGTACTGGATTTCTAATAAATTAGGTTCATATTTAAATAATTACAAACTGACCAGAAGTATACTGACAAAGACTCATGTAAGCCACGGTCTTAGTGCACCTAGAAAGAACTGTAGTGAATAGGTAAGCTGAAGGATCAGAGTCCTTTCACTGGAGTTACCTCTGCGTGCTTACTGTCTTACTTCATTCCTGTCTTTATACAAGCTTATAGGACTCGATAATAACATGAGAGATCCTGGTGGCTTTTTCTCTCTGATGTTATAATAAGCCAATATTATCTAAAACAGTAACAATAAGGAAAGAAGAGTTCCTCACTCCACAAAGAACCAAAAGCCAGAGTCCGAGAACAATGATCACACTCTTCTTTTTTTCTTGAATAGATGTTTTGTTACAAGGAAACATCTTTGTTTGGCTTTGACTACAGCATAGAGCAAAGAACTGGAGGCATCAATCTATTGAATTTGTTGCTGCCACAACAAAATGAAAATTACCAAGAGCAAATTATGTGCTAAAGAGCAACAAGTAGTAATTGCTGACCCATTTCTTGAATAGGTTTTCATTATGAAGATCTCCATGAATATATTAGAAAAATACTTGAAGGACCAGTCTGTAGAGTGTTTAGCTTGAGAAAAATGTGACGCAGTATGATTCTTGTATAAGAGGAATCATGATAGCTATCGGAGTTCACTGTAGTTGGATTTGATTTCTATTGTAAATCAAACCTTGCCTTTTGAAACACATTTTAGCTTCTTATTGGATCATTACAGAGAAAGCAAGCAATCTAAGGTTTACATATAAAATTGTTTTCATCATATTTTAATTTTACACTTTTAATAATTTTAAATTGCCATGAGATTATCTATGCACAAAAGTGTTTATAAATCTGATTGAATTAATTAATCTTATTGATTAATATTTAATTTTTTATTTTCTCAACATAGATGGATTACAATGTTTAATACAACCCCAATTAAATAATGGAAATAAGATTTATTAATAGATAACAGAACATCTCTTTAGGCTAATCACTGCTTTTCTTTGTATTATAAAAAATGTCATTTTTCTTATCTCCCTTAATGTTGCATGTTACATAATGTCTAACATTTTGTAATCACAATGTCTAACCTTTGTGACTATGTTTTAAGCTACAGGTCATGCTCTAAATCTTGGTAATCCTGGCATCTTCAGAAAACATTTATTAGAATTCTTTAGTGAAAAAAATACTTGAAATAAAAACTTTTTGTGCTAGTAAAAAAAGCCTTCCAAATTTAATTCAACTTTGGAGGTCAACAAATAATTAAAAATCCAAAAAAAAAATTTTTGGGGAAAAGAAAAAAGGCCCCTTAAAAAAAAAAGTTTTAAAACCTAACTAAAAACGAAAGAACTAAAATAAAAAAAAAAAAACCCAATAAAAAGGTGAAGAAAAGAACCCGGGGAACCGGGAAGTTGCCAAAAGCCAAACATTTGTGATGAAGATTTGAAACTGTACAACAGGATTCTTATTGTTACAATTAATAAAAATAATAAGATTCTACGAAAGGCATGATTCAAAATTAATATAAGAAAATGTCAAGATTTTATAGCAACTTGGAGTTAGTATCAAAATTTGTAATTAGGCATTATATTAGAAATTGGTTCCTTCTCTAATTCAGGTATAAAATTATTAATCAATGAATGAAAATAGAACATTATGGCAAAATTCTTATTTTAAGCTTATGTTTACTAATGCCACATGAAAATTAAAAATTTTGAGGTAGTAAATTTTTTAGGCATGAATCATGACTTTACTTAACACAGGATATTTAAATTGAAGAAAATCTGAATATTTCTTACCGGAGGAGGATTTTCCCATTTTTTCAAAAAGTCTTCTTTGGCTTTGGCTAGAAACTCTTTCACTGAAAATATATATAAAAACAAATTTGTCTTGTGAGAATATTTACATTACATGTATGAATATCTATATTACATTTTTATATTACATATAAATATTCTCTCTTAAAAAATACATACTTATGTTAACTATTGTGATGAAAGATATATTCACTACCATGTTACACTGGAGAGTTATTTAGTGTCTCTAAACAAGAAGCAAATACTTTCTCAAATTTCTAAGAATCTTTAATTTTGTTCTATATGGAAACCACTTTGATAATTTCAAATTCTAATAACAAAAATACTGTTTCTGAAAACATGCCAGAAATTCAATGTAAAAAAGTTCTTGAAGCTCTTACTCGAGGGGGGCGGGGGGCATAGACAATATATATAACCTTCACACTTGTACCCCCATAATACGCTAAAATGAATATACAAAAAAAAAAGTTAGAAATCAATCCAGAACAAAATAGTGATTGTAAAAAAGCCAGAAGTGATATTAACAGAGCCTTTAACACAAGAACTGAAAACAGCTAGAGAACATGAAACTGTTGATTTGTGAAATTTAAAATATAATCGATTTTGATGAAGAGCTGTTTTCAGGTATAAGGATTTATATTGTGTATTAGATTTGACTAAGGGCTGTAGAGAAAAAGAAAAACTACTGACTAACACATAAAGGATACCCACAAAGACTTAAAACAAAACAGAACAAAACATCACCAACAAAAATCCAAACAGCTTAAGAATCTCATTCTAAATCTGCAACCAAAACTAATGTCTAAATGCCTAATTTAAAATGTACACTAAAGTAAGACAATTCAAAACCAGATGTTCATATATTGATTAATGATAGCCACATTGTTTTATAGAGCAGTAGTTTAATCAAGTTTCAAATCTGTAAATTAAATGGTGAATCATTTAAAAGTTTTCCCCTTTTCATTGTCTTTCCACAAAATTATTAACAAGGGTTTCTGTTACAAAACAACTTCACAGGTTTAAAGACAAATAATAAGGATAAAATTCTAAAGAGCTAAAATGGCATTAACAAAATATATTCTTGTTCTTATTGTTATTAATAGGTATAAGAACAAAACCTGACTATACAAGAAGTAATTACTTTAGTGTTTCTTTTTGTTCAGAAAGTTCCCAATATTTCTCTATTTGAATCTATAAAGTAGAAAATAACAAAAATAGGATTCAAATAGTGTTGAAATAATAAACAGCTGGAGTAGACAAAGCGAACTTGAAGTGGCACACTGACAATTATTTTAGAAATAGTAAGAGTGATGATGATGAGGAGGAGGAGGAGGAGGAGGATTAAAAGACAGAATTAAAGGTGGAAGTAAAGGACTCGCAAATTCTTTAAGATTCCTAATGATACTGTAGTATTAAAGTGAGGTGTTTTAAGATACACATTATTATTTCCTGCTTTATCCCAATGTAGTACCTTTGGCAAAACACTGTTACTAACCATAAAGGCTGTTGGCATTTTAAATGTTTTGCTATTTCAAAATGATGACAAGCAACAAGAGCAGACATTAGTTTGTAAGTAACACTACATACAGTATGAATTTCTGAAGACATTATTTTACTATTTTCTGTAAACTGTTCTTTGTATTTTCATATAAAATATTCTTAATACTTATTTTATAAAATTTGAGAAGAATAATTTTTAAAATTAGAATTTTCCCATTGCAGGAAAATCTCATGCACCAAAACAATAAATAAAATAATTTAATCTAATCATCCAAATATAATCTAATTCTTCTCTGGGGGTGGATTAAGGGTGGCAAATTCTTACATTTTCTTGGAGTTTAGGATAGTTGAAGTCATCCTACTTCTAAAAGTTAATATATTAGTTACAACTGATGAAGAGTGGATTTTTAAGTACAATTCTTTTTTCATGGAGAAGACATATCTATACATGGCAGTGACTTGGAAATGATGGCTATAAAATAAATTAAAAGCATAATTTATCGCAAAATACAACTGTGACTTTTAGAAAACAACTTGTGATTCCCAAAATATACCTCTTATTTCTTTTGAAAAATATTTTTAGTTATCTTTTATTTATAGAACTTGCACATCAAGTTGCAGTACAAAGTCCCCAGATGCCTGTATGAGTATAAATAATTTAGAGACAAGGAAGAGAATCAGGGAAAGAAAAAAAATCCCTAACATCCTGTTTCAGCTTCTCCTGTCACTTTATGTTAAGCAGATCTAGAGTTAAGAAAAAATAACTGATCAAAGGAAGGTCTAGCAGTATTTGCTAAACATAGCAAGTGGAAAAAAATTCCTTTTCCGTACCTGCTGATATGCTAAAAGGAAAACTTCAGGTACTACTTATTTTTATCCATAATAGAATATTGAGGAAATTCTTTAAAATATTCTCTGTACTCATCAATATTCTGAGTTTACTGTCAATTAACACTGTAGAAAGTAAATAACAGTTCTCATAAAAGTCTTATGTAAAAATGATCAGAAATGGGCATTAATCAAAGATATTAAATTTTGGGAATTATGTCAACATGGAAAGGGATTTCCTTTTAAGTAAGGATGAGAATTAATTATAATGTCAAATAGTTTCATGAAGAAAACCCTGTTCTTGAAACAATTTTTTGTCATATAAAAACATGTATACACATGAAATCTCTAATATGTGCATTATGTAGATGCAAAGATGAACATAGATAACTCTTTGTAAAAATATGTTAACCAAACTATACATCTTATAAATAACAAAATAAAATTACCAAAAATAAAATATCTTATAATATGCTGGATTATTATAAGTCTAAAGTAATAGGTAATCTAGAACCACATATATTTGCTTTGAATTTTATTTTTAGATAGTGGTAGATTTAACTTCAAAATGCTTTTCTCTGGTTATTTAAAAAAATTTCTATCCACTGACATAGGTGTTGGCAGCTAATTAATAAAATAAGAGGTAGGGGAGACGGACAGATTCAAACATTGCAACACATTCAATCCAGAGTTCCCTATAAAGCATATATTAATACTTTGAAGTTCTCAATTTTATGGTTTACTTATATTCTAATACATAATAAGCCATATCTATATTTAAGCATTTAAACCATTGTGATGGTTTTAGAGCTTGGCACATCTGAGTTAGAATATTAGCTCTAATACTTCTTAGCTGTGTCATAATAGATACCTATCCCCACAGTGTCTGACAGTGATTAGTAACACTTCATAAGAAAAAGATACCTCAAAGAAGGATTTTTCTGCAAATATATTTTATTCTGTATTGGTTAATAATAGAGCCAACTAGATACTACAAAAATGAGAAGGACATACCAAAAATTAACTCAATTTATTCCCAGAAATATACATTCTCAATTATATTTATTGTCTCCTCAGTTTGTATCATTTAGAGTCTATCATATTGCATTCTAAAGGAAATGAGCATGCTAAAGGAATCTACAGGTCCACCCAAGGTTTACTTGCAGCATCTTTCACCCACATTCATGAGATGATAAAAGAAAAAGCAAAGATAATTTTTATGTATTTCTACAAATTCATATAAACACAACTTAATTCTTATCCCTCCAAATATTTTTGAATGTTCTCATACACGGGGCATAGTTTAAAAATCAGATTTCAAAGAGCATTTTAAATATTAAGAAAACTGAAAATTCAAGCACAACATAACTTTATCCCATATAATTCAGATAATTCTGAGTAGTATGATAAAAATGTTTCACTAATAACATTCAGCAAATTTATTTATTAGATATTTTGGGGTGCTGTGTTAGATAAACTAGATTACTGCTTAGCATAAGTAGAACATGTTGTTATAGTATGTCATTATCCAGTTCTTAAAAGAGTATTACTCATATTTTGTAAGAAGAGTTACAAATCTATTTTAAGCTTTATAAATAGATTATAACTACTCTAAATGTTGAGCTCTTCAGTTTCTTTGTAATGAGATAAATTTTGCCTTCCTTTTCTATACAACTCTAACTTTAATTTATATTAGAAAATTAGAAAGGAAACAAGCAGACAACAGATCAAAATAGAATAAAAACATCCTTGGGTAAATGCCACTTAAGATATTAGCTATCTCATTCAAAATTTACAACGGTATATATTTTTAAAAAACTAACCTGCGTAATCTAATTTAAATGGTGTATATTAATTTGTCTTCTGCTACCCTATATATCTTCTGCTGTTTCAGACTGCTAAATGTATTGTTTTTAAATTTTACACAAGAAAGTGCAATATAATCATTTGTATAGATAAAACCCAACCAACATAAAACTAAACAAATTATTTCCTTCAACAAAAATATTTTATTAATTCAACATACTTAATACAATATAACTTTATAAGGAAAATAAATACTTGCAAACAACAAAGTAAAAAGTTTTAAAGGTAATATTTGTTTTATTAAAAATAGTTGCCTACCAGATATTTCTGAAGAAGAGCAAGCTTGTGTCCAAAAGATAAATTAAACAATGATTAAATTACACTCATAAAAATAACATATTAGCATAAAATTACCTATACATTTTCCCAGAATATTTATATACAGAAATAAAATGTTAATGTGGAAACTCAATAATTTAACTGAATGTATTCAAATAGGATACCTTAAAATTAAATGGTAAAGCAATAAAACCAATAACTATTGTTTAGTGTCAAAATCAATACCATTCTAATTTTCCTTATATCAACAATTAACAAAAACTTTAACGCCTCATGACAATATATATGGCTAATAATTTGAAGAAGCAAATACTGAAATACAAATCCTGTAACTATTGCAATAGCATCTCCGAACTTCTGATACTCAGTTAAACTATATGTTTAACTGTAGCAAAGACACTAAAAATTATAACACCTTGTTTATTCCTTTCTGAGAGACTTGTATCTTTCAGGCATTCCACTTTCTTGGTGTTATTTTAACAATCTTTTCAACATTTATTGATGTCTGTTTAGTGGTGTCAGATTCTGAGCTACGACTCTGTGAATACTACAAAATATCTCCCATTAAGGGAATGAGAAGCTAATGGGGAGATGGATGAATCATTATATTAGAATGTGTCAAGGACTACAACGAAGGCAATTTTATGGTGCTATGAGACCTTGTAAGAGAAAATTCTTGGCTAGTAAGGTAAAGAATACTAAGAGGCACCGCATTTGTTCTGAATCTTGAAGAACAAAGAATTCCTCTGGCAGATAAAGTTGGGGAAAAAGACATTCTAGGCTGAGACGATCTTGTATAAAAGGCATGGAGGAAGAGCATAGTATATCCAGGAAATGGCAACTGACCTGTAATGGCTGCAGCATAGGGGGTGAGTGCACAACAGCAGGGGAGGGGAGGTGCGCTGGCAAGCAGGTGCCCAACCATGGAGGGCCTTGTTTGCCACAGTGATGCTTCTCAATGTGTGGGAGGGAAGGAGATCACACTGAGTTAGTTCACAGTTATTAGACTCTATTTCTTCAGGGAAATAGAAGGCAAGATGGCTTGCTGAGAGAGGAGGAAGCCAGGTGGAGTAATGAGGGATGACGAAGATTAGCGGCTGGATTATTTTATACCTAGATGGCTATCTATATGGGGAATAAAAGACAGGGCTATTCTAAAATTTTCTATTGGGGAAAGAATAAGTATTAGGTACTATAGGCAATTATATGTTTTTAATGCTTTTTTTGTAATAGCAGTTCAAAAATTTGTTACTTAAACAGATTATAGTTCATGTGCCCCCTACTGTCTTTGTTATTGTTTCCATCTCCTTCCTTTACCTTAACAAAAGCATTATTCTATTTCAGAATTATTTAGTGTATGTCAGAAAGCACAAAACGGTATGGAAACTGAGTAAATTACCCATAAAAATACCAAGTTTTATCAACTAATATTAGTAACAGAAGAGGACAGTCTTTCAAAATCTCTGGAAAGTGTAAATCTAGTGGAATACATTAGTTTATCCTCTGCCACCCCGACTTCAAACACCCACCTCTTTAGAGATCTATATTGGGTATTTCTAAGAATATACACACACTGTACTACAAACATTTTCAGTAAATAGACCTCCTATAAAAATTAAATATAAAATATTATAATCACCAAAAAATACTTCATAAAAATCCAACTTATAACAACCAAAGTAACAGAATTATTCTGGTAAAAGTGGTTTCCTACCAGATGCATCTGATGATTTGCGAGCTTGATCAAAAAGAATAAATAAATTAAACAGAGATTAAATAACATATAAAATAACATACCCACAAGAAGCTACCCATCCATAAATGTTCACTAGTATATTACACAATGAAATAGAATGAAAAAAATACTTAAGCATACATATTAGAAAATGTCTTATAAAATGATTACAACAAATTCTTTGACTGTACATATTTTTAACTAACCAAAAACCCTACTACTTTGGAAGTGTGTTTATAAATTATCATATTCTATCCCTTTAATCTGAAGGATAATTGTGGACACTTTGCTGAGGGGCACTTTACTTGCCTCACCATATTCAAACATGTTCATTCAAAGTAAATTCACTATAACCTTACAAAGGATAGTGGGTACAAAAAAACAATTTTGTGCAGTTTATTGGATTGGGCCATGCCTACCTTTGATTTCTAAGATATTAATTAGTCTTTCTATAAATACTAAAGTCTCACATGAATGAGTGTTTGGAAATTTAATAGGTAGTAAATGCTGCATTTGCTATGACAATATTTATTTTACTCTTCTTCCCTCTCTTTATGCTTTATTATTTGTTAATTCTTTATCAAGTCTTGGTTACAAGTGAACGGTATAATGACACACTAAACTGTGAAAAAATAAAAACTTTATTATAGTGTTTATACAGAAAAAATATGAAAACTTTTTATGAGATGTATTTAAATAAACAAATTCTAGGGCTGGGCATGGTGGCTCACGCCTGTAATCCTAGCACTCTGGGAGGCCAAGGCGGGGACGGATTGCTCGAGGTCAGGAATTCGAAACCAGCCTGAGCGAGACGTCATCTCTACTAAAGATAGAAAGAAATTAATTGACCAACTAAAACTATGTATACAAATAATTAGCCGGGCATGGTGGCACATGCCCGTTGTCCCAGCTACTCAGGAGGCTGAGGCAGTAGGATCGTTTGAGCCCAGGAGATTGAGGTTGCTGTGAACTAAGCTGATGCCACGGCACTCACTCTAGCCTGGGTAACAAAGTGAGACTCTGTCTCAATAAATAAATAAATAAATAATCAAATTCTAGGAAGAAATACATTCACTTATTTGACATTTACATGGACAGATGGATACACCATGAGACCACATTCATCACTAATCACATGCTTTCTCTTCCAACAGATCTCTATCTGGGGATGCTGAAGATTTTCTAGCCCATCCATTCCATGTTTGATTAGAAATGTTTCCTATGGAATTTTATAATGAAAACTTAAACTACATTTATAGTCAAAAAACTAATGACCCAGGTAGTCTTTGAAATGTTCTTTGAAATGCATTTTACTTCCTTAGTTGCTCACTGAGGCTTTTTTTCATAGAAATATTGTATCTACCACAATCACATGTCAAGGAATTTCCAGACATTTCTGCATTCAAATATTGTCTTGTTGCCACAGAACAGAGCTAGGAGTGGATCCCTAGATGACAGGGAATGCACATTATCAACTTAGATAGTAACAAGCGGTTCAATAAATGCTTGTGTCAAGTTATAGCCCTCCCACCACATCCTTGATGCTCCATATTTTCAACAAAAAATATTAACATCAGACTTTCCAATTTTTGCTAATCTAACGAGTATGAGGTCAAATCTTCTTGTTAAAAACTAGGTAAATATCTCTCAGTAGAATGCTATGATTTTTCCCTTACAGGTCTTATAACTCTTTTATTAGATTTAGTCCTAGGTTCTTTAGAGCTTTGGTTGCAATTGTAAAAGGGAGATTTTTAAAAATTAACTTTTCTTTTTGTTGTTGATGTATAGAACATAGTCGATGTTTATATATTGGTTTGATTATATCTGGCAATCTATCCAGACTCTCTTATCAATTCTAAAATCACATTGGTATTAATAGATTCTCTTGAGTTTTCTATGTAGATCATCACATATCATCTGTGAATAATGAAAATTGGTTCTCTCCATCTTATTCTTGTATTACTGTGCAGGTTATGACGAACAGTGCAATGATGTACAGAAACAGTGACAGTCGGCATCCTTTTCTTATTCCTAACTTCAGAGAAAATGTTTCTAACTAATTTACTTTTCCCATACTTTACTTGTAAAACTATACTAGACTCAACAAATGAATCTAAGAATATTTCCTCTTTTTCAATGTTCTGGAAGATATTGTACAAGATTGAAATTTTTGTTCTTTGAATGTTTCTGAGATTTTGACTGTAGAACAGTCCTAAATTTGTTATTTTGAGTAAAGATTTTAACTATAAATCAATTTCTTAAATAGGTATAGTTCTAATCATTTCTTTTAAAAACAGTTTTCCATGAACCAAACTTTGCTTCTTCTGTATCTTTATTTTTCAGGAATATTTGACTTATTTTTGCCCATGTCTTTATCAGTTTTTTTCTTCTTTTGATTTACCATGCTGTGCTTTTCCTAACTTGGTTACTTACATCATGAATGTCTTTCTCCTTTCCTAATTTAAGCATTTAAAAACTTATCCCTAAATCCATTTTGGCTTCACCTCACAAGTTCTGAAATGTAGTTGAATTTTAATTTCTATCATGGATTAATTCTTGACCAGTGAGTTATTTGAAATTTTTAAATCTTCAAATATATACATTTGTGTGTTTGTTAGTTTTTTTTAGCCTTTTATCATTGATTGAACTTAACTGCCTTTTGGTCAGACTGACTCCTGTATATCAATTCTTTGAAATTTGTTGGATATGTTTAGTCATGCAATCAATTTTGTAAGTGTTCTATATCTTTCTATGTATTCTCTAATTACTGGGTAAGAAGTCTCTCTATACATCTATAAATCTTATGTATTTTCCCTTGTAAATGGGTAAATTTTGCTTTATGTATTTCGAGGTTCTATTAGAGGTACATACAATTTTTTCTCTTATATATTTCTTTTGTATGTCATTAATTTTAAATAGTAGCTGTATGTGACAATTCTACTATGGCTACTGACATTCTTGGGAAGGTCTAATCCTGTTGTATCTAAATAGCATTTGTAGTAGATGTGTGTGTATGTGTGTGTGTGTATCTATTTTGTTTTTGGATTGTGAACTCTGAGTTTAGAGGGGCTTTATTTGTGCAAAACCTACAGGACTTGACCTGAGGATGTGTCCCAGTAGAGTTTGTATTAGCGTTTGCCTGCTTCACAATATATGCTACCAGCCTGCAATTGCTCTGATAATATACTTTATTGATGGTTCCTAGATCACACAATTAATACACATTAAAACCTGAAATCTACTTGAAGGGAGGCAGTTGATTACAAATTCTTGGGAGAAGCACTCCACACATGCACCCAGGTCTCAACCTTGCCCCCAGGAACCCAAACCAAGGAGTACAAGTTCCTTATTTTCTCCCTGTGTCAATGAAGAGGTTTTATTTTCTACTCTATGCTTTCACTGAGGTTATGATCCTTTGAGGGGTCTAAGAAATCCCAAATTGCATGAATCAAAGAACTTGTCTTCCATCTCCATGGGGCTATTTTAAACAAAAGCCCTTTGATCACCAAGGTATGAAAATCTCCTCAGGGTAGTTAAGGTACACTCCCCCTTACAGCTCTGGTTTAATCATTTACCATTTCATTTTTTGCACTTTGGGAATTTCTTTTAACTCTTGTAAACTCAGGTATTCATTTAAAGGGATGGGTGTTATAGTTTATTCGACATTTCAAGGTGTTGTTGATTTCAATAATTTTTGTCCTAAATATGTTTTCGAGTTATCTAGTGTCCAATTTTGGAGCTTCCTGTTAGGAAGTAAGATGCAAAGAGATCTGGATATTTGTGGAATTCATTTTTTATGCTTGAAATTCCAAATTTTCACCAGGATATATTTAAGCATTGGCATCTTTGTTAGTCTTGTCAAAACACAACGAGCTATTTCAATGTACAGATTCGGGATTTTCTTCAACTAAGAAGTTTTCCTGAATCATATTTTTGATTATCACTTCTGTTCTAGTAATCATATCTGTAATGTGGGGATTTTGCTATTCATTCAATTTGTAGAATGCCCTTCTTTTATTGATTTATTTTTGTCCTACTTTTATGTAACATACTTTTCTCCTCATAATTTTTATCTTGTACATTTCCCCTACATTCTGGTAGGGTTTATAGGCACATTATTAATTTACTTTTCTGCAGTGATTACTCTGCTCTTTAGTGCCTCTAATGCAGCTTTGTATTCTGCACATACCAGGTTTATTTTCTTATAGCCTTTCCTTATCATATCATGATGCTTCTTTTCCATTCCTGCCCTTCAGCCAGCAATCTTTTCATTCTAGTTTGCTGTTTTATTTTCTTATCTTTCATGTCTTAATTCACTGATTCCATGTTCACTTGAAATTTTTAGGAATGAATTCAGATGATATCTGTAATTTCTTATGTTTATACCTTCTTACACAAATATTTTCTAAATATAAATTCATTCTCTTCCTCTTGAAAACTGTGATTTTATTCTTTTATGGTGCATAACCTCTTTTATCAGCTCCATGTTGTTTATTTCCTTTTTATTCATTCATGGACAATTAGAAGCTTTTTAAAACTTTACAAATGCCCCAAATAAGGTAAGTGGTTTTTCTTTGGACTCTCTGACTTTCTATTTGGGAACTGTTAGAATTAACTCCTCAGATCTTTTAGTTTATACATATTTACATTATCAGTTAAATAATCCAGTGACCTTCTGAATTGGGAATGTAGCTAGGACTATAGGGTTCCTTGCTGGAGGTGGTGCCTACCACATCAAGGGAGAGCTTTTCCACTTCTGAAAGAAGAAAGGCCACTTTTCCAACTTTGACTAGCCTAATAAATTCTTGGTAATCCTACTATATCCATTTTAGAATGAACGTAATTAGCAGTGTTGGATCTTCCACTCATTTTCCTCACTGTCTTTCTTCTAAGCCTTATCCCTCCAAGTTAATGAGGGGAAAATTATCGTTTATTTCTTTTCCACAAAGGCAAGCTACCCAAATTAGAACTGTTAGTTAGAATTTGGACTCTGATCATAAATATGAGCCTATACATTTTGGGACAAATACCTGTCCTTAATTTCAGGACTGGGGTACTGTTCCCAGTTTTGTGTTCTTATAGTATTTTCAGTCAGCATCTAGAAAGGGAAATTAATTAAGTGCTAGCACTCAAGTCTGCAACTTCCCTGTAACTCATAGCAGGTTAATGACTTCTTCTTCAGATTTGCTCCCCACCACAGCTGGGCCAATCAGAGTTCTCACCTAGGATTTCGATTTAGTGATGCTAGTTATGTTGATAAACACATGAACCAGGAATACACATAACTCCGAACATGTCACATGACTAACCTCCATTTTGTGTAAGCAGCAGAGAAAACTATTCTGTCACAGTGAGGATAACAAAGCAGATACAAGGAGAAAAGTAAACGAATCATGTGATCTCAGAAAGAAAAACTGAAAAAAGGTACCATTATGATTCAGTCTCAGTCAGCTTTTCAAATCTCAGTTCTAGCCCTTGGTAAAGCTCAACTCTACTTTTTACCTTTGAGCTCCATGACATACTCTTCATCCTGATAATGCCTGTATCTTTTTCTGCTTAAGCCTGTTTGAGTAGGTTGCTATTTCTTCTGCTCAAAAGGGCCTTAAGACAGTTCAATTGAGTTTTAGAGGGATTCCTTTAGTATTCATAAAACCTGTTTGCTTAACAAGAGCAAAAACTTCATAAGAAGAGTTATGAGTAAGAAAAAAATTAGAAAGTGAAAGCTTTTTTCACATTTATAATTAATATTTTTAAATACTAGAAAGATAAAAGTTCTGATTAGTACAACTTAATTTCTTAATCATTTTATCTGACTTCATACTACAAAGATGATTCAAGAATAAGTAAATACTGTGATCATTGTATTTTCTGAACCAAAAAATCAAAACACACAACTGATACCTTTCATTGGTAATGTAAGAAAAGTGTTTAGATATGTAAAAAATGTCATTTTTTACATTAGTCATTCATTTATTCTACAATTATTTATGAGGTTTTTTTGCTGTGTTTGGGGCACTGGAGTAACTATTGGAAACACACAATAAGGAAGGTTCTACCCTTGCCTTAAGGATTTCAAAGTTTAGAGATTAGAAACTGACACACAAATATATAATTTCAATATAATACAATAATTGTTACAGTTTTTAAGTTTGCTTTGGGAGTAAAGAGAAATCACCTAATCCTAAAGAGTCGATGATGAAGGCACTGAAAAGCATAGCTGGTTCTCAGAGTTTTTATGGCAATGAATATAAATATGGAAAGGTAGCAAGAAATTATATGTAGTATAGTATGGCTGGATGAAAATTTGTGAGAGAGATACAAATAAAGCCAGAAAGGTAGGTCATTTATCTCATATGCCATACTAAGGAGTTTAACTTTTCTTTTAGAGGCAATAAGGAATAATTGAACGTTTTCACATTGGATTAAGAAATGAGCATTTTTGCATCTTAAAAATTGCAGTGTGGAAAATGGTTTGATGGGATATAACTCTGGAAGCTGGGGGACCAGTGAAGCAGTTATTGCAATAGGATTGAGAAGAGATCTAGAATACCTGATCCAAAAGCATTCCCACTGTCAGTGAGATTGGAGAAAACTGAGTGATTTCTGATGTGAAACTTAATGACTGAGTGTATGCCTGAGGGTAAGAAACAAGGTTTCTGATTTTACTACCTGCATGGGCAGTGGGATCATTAACAGAAATCAGAATCTATGAAACAGGAGCAGATTTGGGCATGGGAAGACAAAATTCACTTTTGAACTGAATGCTCAGGTAATGACTGAAGATGTAGGCATGGATGAGATTATTTGGTGAAAATGTAGCATTAAAAGAAGGCCAAAGATAGATTCCCAGAGAAAACTAACATTTAATTGACAGGAAGGAGAAACGGAATAGCTTTATAACTAGAAAAGTACCATATACACATAAATACCCCATGTATAGTAATAGACTTAGATAAAAAAGACCAACATTTGCTCATTTTTACAAATAAAACCACATTTCACTTGTAATTTTCCACAATTTTGAAATGGCTAAGGCATTTAACCACTTACGACATGAGCAAAATTACTTGAAATTGGACAATACTGAAAAAGTCAGAATGTCTAGTTGTAGTTACTATGACAGAAAAAAGCTATAAGGGAAGACCAATATGATCAACTATATTAAACACTATCCATAATCCATAGCTTTCTTGAAAGAAAAATAAAGCAATAGAGAAGCAGCAACAATTTTCTTCAGCTAAATCCAACACAGCCTGTTGTAAAAACCTCAAGAACATCACAGTGTTTACCTAAAGATCCTAGGTTACATGCCAAATTTTCAAAGAGAAAACAAACATTGGCCTGATTCAAAGAAATAAAAGTATGATAACTAGCTATATTCAGTTTTGATATCCATAGACATCCTAAAGAATATTAGCATGTTGATTGTGTAATACTGGTCCAAATTTAAAACACGAAATCAGAAAGATCTACTTCGATAACCGGAGAATAAAAATCCAGTTCATTCCTAATATTTTGCCTGGTAAAATGTTCCTTTAATGTCTAATATCATTCTATAAACAAATATATAACAGTGTTTAAGAGGGTTATATTGTTTTGCAGCAGGATAAAGAATATTTATTGATGATAATAAGGTGATCTCCAGTTATGAAGAAAGAAAATGTTCATTGATTTTGAATTCTGTCATTATACAGCAAAACTCCAATTTTCTCAGGGTCTGAATTCCAATTTCAAATCTCTTAAGTGTAAATCATAGGTCTGTTATGTTATCAGAGAAACCATATAACATTTCCTCTGAAAATATCTAAATGAAAGGTTAACTTCTAAACATCTTCTTAAGATGCTAATGAATTATGCTTTAAGCAAGTATTTCTCACTCTCACAACAGGATATCTATTTTTAGCTGCAGGTTTGGCTTGAAGTGACAGCTTTTACCCTGTGATAAACTGCAGTATATATACTGTAGTACATTTTCTCAAAAAGCAATTCTAGAAATTTTTAGAAAAAAATAAATCATATTATAATAACAAAAAAGAGACCAGTTATCACAAATGTATTTATTCTAATAAATTATTTTCCCCAAAAATCTGTTTCTTAAAAATTTTAACAAAGCCTCCAAAACCAAAATGCATATATTTATTTCATCATCAAATCCTTATTTCTCAATAAATTTTAGGTAAAAGCAACCAAAAAATCAACAAAATTTTGGCAGCATCTTATTTTAAGATTACTATTTGAAAAAACATAATCAAAAAGAATCTAACAAAAATTAGTATTAGGATGACAAAGATAATCAAGTTAAACTTAAACTAATTATCTTCAGGATCAGATATTTTTAAAAATTCCTCTCTTATCATGGTGGGTCTTCTAGTCACTAATTTATAATAGAATTAATAACAGAGCACAACAAATACAATAAATCAAACCGTAAAGAGAATTAATAACTGATTATTGGTATTGACTATTAATAGTGGCATTAATTGTTTACAGTTCTTAATGGCTTTCAAAAGCAATTTACTATAATGCCTAATTTGCAAAAGCATCAATACAAAATACAATTCACTGTAGCTCTGGCTTTACATCCCCTTAAAAATATTTTTTCTTCTTATAGTTAAATATTTTTTAAAAATATACAACTGCAGAGTCTCAGAGAGCATACTTACCACTCATGATGAAAACCAACCTTTCCAAAACATATTGCTCAAAACAACAATCCAACAGCAAAGGGAATTATGCTAATCTCTAGAGGGAGAAGAACCGATGGTGTAAACACATACACTGGAACATGCAGCACACAGAAAATGAAAAGAGCTTTCTTTTGTTTTAAAAAGAAAAGTCCCTAGAAGCAAAGCATAACTGCCTAGCATGAGATATCACTAGTAAACGTCAGATTAATGCCGAAGATGTAGATAACTAGATTTAATTTCTTTCAAGCTAGTTATCCTAGCCTCCTTCATATACCACTAGAACAACTCAAAATGGCAGGGAGAAAATGTTCGAACCAGGATGTATAAGATGTTCTCAATTATATCAGCATGAGTTGTTACCACGGCAACATTAGACCAGAATTATCGGTTCACTTGTAACCAAGGAGTAGCTTTTCTAAAGCTTTAAGCAACCAAGACAAATAAAATACCTTTTTATTTTAGAGCCACATGATTCTCAAATTACCACGTTCCTTAAATTTAAGCACTAATCTACCCTTTTTACATTTTCCAAAGATATAAACAAATTGCTGTTTTCTTCAAATACTCACACAATCCCATGTTGAACCTGGCAAGGAACAAACAGCAGAATGATTGCACCTAAACGTCTTTCAATTACACCAGCTCTTACTGCTAGCTGTGGACCTCGCTGATATTAAAATGCTGTGTGCTGTTGCTAGTGACTATTGGCGATGAATCTTATTGCCCAGATCGCTGATAGCTTTCATTTTTCATGAGCCAGAAAGCTATACTGCAGCACAAATGTTAACCATTTAAACATTCTATATAATGAAAGAGACAAAATATAATACTATATATATATATATATATATATATGTCTGCATTTATAAAGGAGAATCACAGAATAACATTTATCAACTTCCATTAAATTCAGCATTACAGACGGTGTCAGATGCCATCCATGTGGTATTTAAAAGAAGATAATACACAAAAAAGTTACTGGCAATTATTGTTGACATGTTAAATTCCTCATAGCAAACAGAATTAAGATGACAGATTGTATAGCAAGGTGAGCAGACTGGATGACGTGGTGAACAGACTGTTTTGATTCCCAGAGAACCAAAATTTGTACCAAAATGGTACAAAGGATCTATAGAATGGTACCTTATTAAAAGGAACTTTAGCAAGTGAACTTGCCATTTTAAAAGTTGCCAGGTGAGGCAGGGCTTCTGGCGATGGAGAAGTTAAGTCAGAAAATCTCCCCAAGAAACAACTATGGAGTTGGACAAATTGTCAAAAATAATGATTTCATGGCTCTGGAAATTGAGCAATCACAACAACAAATTGAGGAGTATTTATTCATGAAAAACTGCCAAACTCTGCATAAGAACAGTAGGAGTCTGTGATGTTCTTGCCTGGGACTGCTCCTATTCCTTCACAGCTCAGTCAGTAGAGTAATTCTACCAGGGAAGGGCTGGTCGTGAAAACTAGCAGCTTCCCTGCTCGAGGGGGCTGACTTGTTTTGGAGGAAAGGTCAAAAACCCATTAGTGATATTGTCAACAATAACAACAAAAAACCCAAGCTGTAAGAAATTAAGGGGGAAATTAAGGGGCACTTGTAGTGCCCAGCTCTACAAGTCTAAGGTTGTAGCCCTGATAGGGGTGAGCAGCAGATTGTGGTCTAGCAAGAAATTTAACAGGGAAAATGGAAATGAGAGAGTCAGATAGGGGCTAAATAAGTTCTCCACATTTCCCTGGCTAACTGGGAGGCTACGGCATGCACAAAGGAGACCCAACAGGGCCCAGCGGATTGAAAACTCCCTTAACATTAAATGTGTTCCCAGTTAGCACACAGTTCCATCAGCACTCACTGGTCCAGGTGTTTGAGCACAACCTCTGATTAACTGTTGAGTAACAACTAAGTTATAGAGACACAGGGCAATCTCTAGTAAACTAGATTAAAACTAAAACTTAGAATCAGAAAAAATACTGATCAGAAAAAAGTAGTAGTCACATCACACATCATAGGGATTACAGATTCCACACATTAAGACCAAGGAAGTTATTAAAACAAAATAAAATATAAAACTAACTCTCGGAGATGAAAGAATAATCAGCATCTAGAACTACTAAAATATTTTATTTTAACAAGTCAATTTTTGACAAAAACTTGTATAATCCATAATGAGTAAAAAAAAAGGCAGTCAATAGAAAATGTCCGTGACTGGGCCCAGATCTAGGATTTAGCAGACAAAGACTTCAAAACAGCTATTATGAATATGTAAAAAGAATTTTTTAGAAACTGTGTTTATGTTTAAAGAATAAAAGAAGAATATGATGGCAACGATATAACAAATAGAAAATTTCAATACGGAAAACAAAACTATTTAAAAAATCAAAAGCATAGACTTGAAAAGTACAATAACCAAAATTTTAAAACTCACTACAGGCCAAATAGCAGATTTGTAAGAGCAAAAGATCAAATCAGTGAACTTGAAGATAAATCAATGGAAATCATTCAGTCAAAGAACACAGAGAAAAAAGATAGAAGAAAAATGAACAGAGCCTCAGAAATGTGTGGGATATCAAAGGTACCAACATTCATCTAGTGGAAATTAGAGGGAGAAGAATGAGACAAAAGGTGAAGAAAATATATTTGAAGAAATAATGGCTGAAAATGTCTCAATTTTGATGGAAAACATTAACCTACAGATCCAAGAAGCTCAACTAACGCCGACTAGGATAAATACAAAAGAGATCCACACTTAGACATATAATAGTCAAGTTGTTGAAAGATAAAGGCAAAGAGAAAATCTTGAAAGTAGCAAGGGAAAAATGACTAATCATGTATAGGAGAAAACCAGTGTGATTAATGACTTCTCACTAGAAAGGAGAAGCCAGAAAAAAAGTGGAATGACATATTAAAAGTGCCAAAAGGAAAATGAAACAAACTTGTCCATCAAGGAAAACTATCCTTCAAAATAAACGTGAAATAAAACATTCCCAGATAAACAACAAACTGGTTATATATTTTGCAAGCAGAAATATTTGATGAAATCCTTAAGGCTGAAAGGAAATGTCACTAGACAATAACTCTAATTGACAGGAAGAGTTGAAGAACACAGAAAATGGTAAATATATAAGTTAGAGGTTATATAAATACACATTTTTCTGTTTTTATCTCTTAATTTCTTTAAAAGACTTAAAATTGTATGAAGAATAACTTTAACACTGTATTGCTGGGTTTATAAAACATGTAGATGCAATATATGGGAAAAAACACAAATTTTAAAAAGAAATGGAGCTATATTGGATCAATGGGGTTCTATTTTACTAGAATTAAATCAATATTCTCCTGACATAGATTTTGATAAGATAAAAATGCATATTATAAGCCCCTAAAGCAACTATTAAGAAAACATCTTTTAAAAATTAATTTAAAAATCAAAACAGAAGAACTAAAATGGCATACTATGTATGTATAATACAAAAGGAGGCAATAGAAAAGGAAAACAGGAGCAGTAACAAAAACTATGAGACATATATAAAACAAACAGTAAAATGGCAAATAGAAATTCAACCATACCAATAATTACATTAAATATGAATAGAGGAAACACAAATCAAAAGGCAGGAATTATCAGACTGGCTAATAAATCAGGTCAAACTATCTGCTATGTATAAGAGATGCGTTTTAGATTTAAAAATGTAAATAGCTTGCAAACAAAAGGAAGAAAAAGATTTACCATGGAAACCGTAACCATAAGATAGCTGGAGTACCTATACAAATATCAGAGAAATACACTTTAATTTAAGAAATATTACTGAAGACAAAAAGGACATTTCATATTGATAAACGGGCCAATATATCTGGGAAATTTAACAATTAGAAATGTATATTCATTGAACCAAAAAGCCCCTATAATACTAAAAAAAAAAAAAAAAACCAAAAGACAAACTGACAGGATTGAAAGGAGAAATAATCTAATAACTACAGCTAGAAATTTCAATACTTCTCTCCTAATAATTGATAGAAAAACTAGACAGAAAATTGGTAAAGATACAGAAAAGTTACATAATGCCATAAAAAAACTTGACATTTATAAAATATAAACCTAACATCAACAGAATACACATTTATTTTAAGCACACATGGAAATTCTCCATATTAATCATATGCTAGTCAATATAGTAAGTCTCAATTAATTTAAAGGGATTGCTAAATCTTTCAAAATATGTTCTCTGATCACAGCAGAATTAAGTTAGAAATCAACAACAGAGAGAAATTTTAGAAATACCCAAATATTTGGATATTAAATCACAAAGAAATCCCAATAGAAATTAGAAGATGTTTTGAACAGAATGAAAAAAGCTACAACATATCAATATTTACCACATGTCAATAAAGCAGGGCTTAGAAAAAAGTCCATAGCTTTAACCACATAGGTTAGAAAAGAAGAAAGGTCCCAAATCAATAATTTAAGCTTCCCCACCTTAAGGAACTCAAAAAAAGAAGAGCAAATCAAACCAAAAACAAAAAGAAAGTTAAGATCAGGAGTTAATGAGGTTGGTCGGAGTGCAGTGGTGTTTACAACTAATTGATCACAACAAGTTACAGATTCCTTTGTTCCTTCTCCACTCCCACTGCTTCACTTGACCAGCCTTTAAAAAAATAAATAAATAAAAGGAGTCAATGAAATAGAAAACAGAAAAACAATACAGAACAATGAAGGAGACCAAGTCTTATTGGTAATACTTTAGCTAGATTGACCTATTAAAATAAAATTTATAAAAACAAAAGAGATAATAATTATAAAAATCAGGAATGAAAAGACATCACCACTAATGCTAGAGAAATTAAAAGGATTATAAGGGAACACTACAAACAACGTTATGACAATCATATAACTTAGATGAAATGAATAAATTCTCAAATTATCAAAACTATCTCAAGAAAAAAATAGAAAAATCTCAATAAACCTATAACAAATTAAAATATTGAATTTGTAATTAAAATGTTCCCCCAAAGAAAATCTCAGGTCCACATGCCTTCATTGGGAAATTACATAAAACCTTCAAAGATAACACCAACTGTACACAAACTCTTTCAGAATTCAGTGAATGAGGTTACACTCTATGAGGTCTGATACCAAAGCTAGGCAAAGATTAAAACAACACTACCAACCAATATCCATCACAAACATTGATGCGAAAATCTTTATCAAAATACCAGCAAATTTAATCTAGCAGTATATAAAAAGGATTACGACATGACCATGTAGGATTTATTCCAGGAAGGTAAGGTTGGTTCAACATTGAAAAATCAATTAATGGACTATACTATATTCATAGAATAAAGGACAAAACTCAGTAATTATCTCAGTATATGCAGAAGCAGCATTCCACAAAATGCAACAGCCGAGATAAAAACCTCTCAACAACTAGGACTAGAAGGGAACTTCCTCAAACTGTTAAAGGGCATATGGGGGTGGCGGAATCCTACAGTTTATATCATATTCAATGGTGAAAGATGGAATGTTTTCTCAATAAGACTTGCCATAAAGGATTCGCCACTTCTATACAACTTTGTCCTGGATGTTCTAGCCAGTACAATGAGGCAAGAAAAAAGATATTAAAGGCTACAGATTGATAAAGATGAAATAAAACTGTCTTTATTTGTAGAAGATATGATTCTATATGTAGAAAATTCTAAGGAATCTGAAAAGAAACTACTATTAATAGAAATAAAAAATGAGTTCAACAGTATCATAGAATATAAGATCAATATACAAAAATCAATAACATTTGTGTATATTAGCAACAAACAATCCAGAAGTGAAATTAAGAAATTGGTCCATTCACAATAGTATCAACAGAAATAAAATACTTAGGACTTTAACAAGACTTGTACAGTAATGAAATTAAAGAACATCTAAATAAATGGATTGACCTTTCATGTTCATGGATTGCAAGACTCAATATTATCACGATGGTAATTGAATGTTTCTTATAGCACAATTCACAATTGCAAAGATGTTAAATCAACCCAAGTACCCATCAATTCATGAGTGGATTAATAAAATGTTATATATGTACACCATGGAGTACTACTCAGCCATAAAAAATGAATCTTTTGCAACAATCTAGATGGAACTAGAGACCATCCTCCTAACTGAA